CTAAGAAGGTGCTGACCTTCGTCATCAATAGATTGTCTGAGCCTTTGTGGTGTTCAGCAGTAAAGGAAGTGCTTAAAAAGTCATCCCGCTGCAAGATGGACTGGAAAAATCTCCAGTTCAGATCTCAGCATAGCTGCTGTCGGTGCACACGCTCATTCAGAAAGCCTGTCGGTAAATCTAATACAGATAAATCTTGCTTCATTTTTAAGTGATAAAACTGGAGCATCCTCACCTTAGAGATGGATCGGGATATCTGGGATTCAATAGAAGTGAAATTATTATAGAGGAGGGCAGCTGATGACCTAGCTGTTGTGGGGCTTTGGGTGCGTGTTGTTACAGTACTACGTGTCTCTGTCCACGCTAGAGGACATTGAAGAAGCGGGATAACACTTGTACAAGTACCAGTGGTATAATTTTCTTACGCTTGCTCCATAGTTTTGGATGCAGCTTCGCCCGCTCCAACATTTGCACTGAAATGAACTGTAGCAGATGACTGGCCTGTGATTTCAAGCGGCCTTCGGGGAGAAAAGGCCTGTTAGAGATGAAAGAGTTCGGTTCCTATAGCTTTCTGGAAAAGTTCCATCACTGCCTAAGCAATATATTAATGCAGCAGTTGTCATTACCACGTATCTCCTAGCAGGGTGAGTTAGCCTGGGTGGGCTATCAGGCTAACACAGCTACGTGGTTGCCGGTAGACACGTGAGCTCACGGGAAGACAGATGGAGTGTCTGTGCACAGAATGCACGCGTGTTGCCGGTACAGTCATGCTCTGGCTGAAAAACCTTGTGGTGTTATCCCCTAGAAACCATGCAGCACTGAACATTCACAGCAGAGAGCACAAAATACAGATGGACCACTGATGACGAGAGCTTCTGGGACAGCAGATGAGGTACAGCCAGACCATCCCGAACGAGGCAGCTTGTACCTTATGCTGCAGAGGAAGTGAAAATAAAACAAAACAGTGACAACAGAAATCTCTGCCAGTTCTGATCAGGGTGGGGGGAGGAAGAATTATTGCCGTCTCTAGATCTGATGCCTAATTTGTCTCTGAGTTTTAGCAAGGCGTTCACGGGAACGTTCAAGCTCAAAACGTGGGTCCACTTGGACTGCTGTCCCATGGTCAGAGTTAGGCACCTGGTGAAGAGTAAGGAAGGTAATTGAGCCCCCTTTCTGCTTCCTCACTGCCCTACTGTCCCCCTAGACCTCCGCACCACGAAAGCGTATGACCCAGCAGGCCAACACTGGGGAACCTCGCCTGGAATTTGCTTTTTTCTCCACAGCCTCTGCCATAAAAAGCAACCGTGATCCCCAGAAAGAGCGACTTGTGCTCTCTACTGAAAGATTTCACCAAAATTGGGAAACAGACCTTCCTCTGCAGCACAGCCCCACAGAGTTCATGCCCCAAAGAGCTGATAATGGCAATGCAATGGTTTTAGTTTCAAGGCAGCTTAATCCCCTCCGAGAACTACAAGAAGAAATTCCTCTCTCCCGTCCCTCCACTTAAATCAATGCTGAACATAGCCCAGTGGTTCTGCCTTGCTCTATGCAGATTCGGGAAGATAGCACTGCAGTCTTTGGCGTTTAGAAAGGTTTCACTTCACAACTGTAAGGGCAAAAGCTTTTTCTGGTTGAAATCAAAGTTTAAATTCTGAAGAAAAAAGGGCTCATCAAAGAACTGGCAAAGAATTTAACAACTAAGGTGCCAGCTGAAGTGCCAGTGTGATTTATCAGCAGGTTCTTCTCTAATCTGATGTGAGATAATAGGAGAAGGTGTTGAAAGCAGAATCAAACTAGATACAGAACAAAAAGCATAAGTAATAGGGTTCATCAGATCATACACATAAGGAAGTTTACATTATCTGGTAGGCAGGCCGCTCTCCCCAAGAAGGCCTTCTTAGCTATATTGGGAAATCAACAGACAAACGCCGAAGATTTTAAAAAGACAAACGATTTTATGTTCCTTTTGCATTCATATTTTTTTCATGTGAGCCTCTCCATTTGAAGAGATGCGGTTTCCTTACCAAAAGGCCCTAGAAAATACTTGGCCGTAGTGGCTGGCAGTGCCATGGACAGAGGATGCTCGGCAAAGGTTAACCCTCAAACATGCAGAAAGCTGAACTTGCTTACGACTGATCAGGAAGATCATTCCTGAGAGCTCAGAAACTCATTTTCCTTGTGACTACAGCGCTAAATCATCTACCTATATCGCCCCGCACAGTGATTCATTAGAAACATTTTACAGCGAACTCTTCCCAAAATAAAAACCAGACATTTTAACCAAAGTCTCAGGAAAATACTTAACTGACAAGGATAATGATTTTCTAAAAGCTTTTCCCTGGAAGTGGTGGGTTGCGGGTTTTTTTTTTTTTTTATTGAGTCAGTGATTAAAGTGAGCCTGCCTGAGTTATAACGTGCTTCCATTGCACAACCCAAAGTTGTGTTAATCAGCTTGAATACCTAAAAATACAATAGGAGCCGTATAAATCCACTCGATACAGCAAAGGTCATTTCAGGTGCTGGTCGACTGGAAAAATGTCTGAAAAGTGATTGAAGAATTATTGGTCTGTATTTCACACTTTGTACTCTGCTTTTTTCTTTTTTTTTTTTTATATTCCATGGTAAATTATTTTAAACTTCTTAAGACAGTCTCACAGGGAACAGTTTGGTCCAGCCGATTTCCCATTCATGCTGCTATCAACCCCCCATCAGATACAGGGCTTTGCCTTTGTGAGCTTTCTGGTGAGGGGAAAAGTTCATTAATTTTCCTTGAGGGCTCCTCGGTCCTATATGGCTGCTCAGAGGAGAATTCCCACGAACTCGTATCTGATGCAGACCCTTAAATCTCATTTTCTAGAGCTCTGTAGGACCTTCAGCGAAAGCCCACCCAAGAGGCTGTGGAAGTCCGGTGTTCCCCCTCCAAAACATGGGTTAGCCCTATCCTGTAGGGCCACACGGAGCTCCACCACAGGTCCCATATGGGACAGTTATGTTGGCGTGACACGACACCAAGATTCTCGGGCTCATCCCCTCAGCTGCTGCTGGGTCTGGCTGGAGCATCTCTGCTCCACTGCACGCTGAAGATAAATCATAATTTCCTAAATTACCTAGTGCTGAAGCCAGCACTGAAAAACACAGCTTCCAATCTTTAGGCTATGCTATGGTTTGTTTTAAAAAGGGATTGAATGTCTTACAAACAGGTAAAATTGCTGCCAGATGCAAGTGCATTAGCCTTTTCCAGCTGCTTTACTGCTGCCATTCAAAATAGCTTGCTATAAATATGATTCCTTTGAGTTCTGTTCTGACAAGTGTGGAGCACTATCTGGGAAGGGCCAGTGGTTTTCCATCTCCATTGAACTCAGTAGGAGTTGTGATTGCTCAGCTGAAAAAAGTCTGCTGAAATTACCTTAAATCACACAATTATCCCCTCACCTCTCGCTCCTTCTCTTGCAGTCGTGGAAGGAGGAATAAGTTTCTCCACAGGCAGTTCTGCTACAGTAAAGTTTTCAGCCTGGAGGTTGTGAACAAATGTCAAACTCAACAAGTTCCCTGCTTCAGGGCTGGTGACAGTCCTGGCTGCAATCTGGCTTAACCAGGGCAGGGGGGTTGGAAAAAAAAAAAAAAAAAAAAAAAAAAAAACAAAAAAACCACGACAAAGATTTGAAACCCTATTTAGGTTAAAATTCAGTATCTGCTTCTCATATGGCCAAAAATACCTTCGCCCCTTCCCTTTACCCCTTTCTGTGAAATTTCTGCCCATTGCCTAATGCTCGTTGCCCTAAGCACTAAAGGTTCACCATCCCACGGCATCCGGGGTGCGTTCTGGCAGCTTTTACGAGCGCGGTAACGCCATCCTGTAGGGCCCTCGCTGAAACTCAACAAGTTGCTTATTGTCTAAAATCTGTTTCTGGCCGAAGAGGAATGCATTTATTAGGTATCTTTCCTTTGTACAATCTGTGCCTGGAGTTAAGTACATTAAACTGGTACTAAATGTAGGGGGGTCTGTTAAACAATAACCCAAGGTTAAAGGCTGGGTGCTTATGCTTAGCAAAGCATTCGGAAAGACAGTCATCATTAAAGCTATTTACAATTAGATTTTTCACAATTGATGGAAAAACCAAGACGGAAATTACCTATGCCTTCCACCTTTTCACCCCAAAGACAACAGGGGCAGATGAAAATCAACATTTCCTTTGAATCCGAGCACAATTACGAGTTTACAATGCAGATCACGTTGTTCCTATTGTGCAGAAGCTGCTAAGAGGAGGCTTCTGAACTCCATTCCACACCTATGTTGTACCAGTCTGAATCCACTACCAGTTCCCAGAACTGAGATTTAAGCTGTTAACTACTGGGGGAGGCTTGCGTCTTTGTACCAACACTCATGTCCTTTGCGGACGGTTTAATCAGAAATGGCTTTGAAACCCAAATCCGGATCTGAATTTTCCTCAAATGCAGCTGAAGCTGGGACCTGGCTTGGAGCTTGTGCCCCTCTGGAATACATCCACTCTGCCTGATTTCTGAGCACCCCTCTCTGACCTCCATCACTGTGCTTACTAGCTCTCAAAAATCAGGCCACGGTGATTTTTTTGCACCCTGTAACAACACACAACGCACGTCAATCAGTCCCAGGGGTTTTGTTGTTTTTTCTTCTGATTAAAAAGCAAGATTTTCCCTTCTTGTTGCAGATATAACAAACTGATACACTGGCATTGCTTTACACAAACAAACATCCGATATCGAGAGCTATCAAAACTACTTAAGAAACGTTAAGTTTTTACACAGGAAAGTAATTACAGTGAGTCTGATATTCTATGTACTAACTATTGAAGAGCTTTCCCTCATAACGGTTGGGCTTGGTGATCTTAAAGGTCTTTTCCAACCTAAACGATTCTATGACTCTATAACGGTGCCTACAATATGCCTAGTGGAGAAAGCATTTGCAGGCTTTTTTTGGCTTTGCAACGTTTGAGTATTCTTAACTTTCCTACATTTTCTCCTAGCACTCTTTCTTTGCTCAAGTCGTGGCATCGGAAACAACGCTGCCTTCCAAAAAAATCTTATAAGCATGGATAGCAAGAATGAAGCCTCTCAGCAAATGCGTAGTTGTAAGGAGTCAAATGTAGCAGCACGCAAATTGAATGATATTCCAGAAGCACTGCAAGAGGCCAGAAACCACCTTGGGGATGGAGCAGCAGAAAATATAATGGAGAGAATAAAAATGGCAAAGGAAAAGAAGGAAAAACAAAGTAACGATGTAGACACAGCAAGCCGTAAACGGAAATCAGAAAACAACGAAGAACTAGCTGTGGAAAAAGAAGAGACGTTAGAGACTGGTGATCGGTCAATCCCAGCACCTCTGCCTCATATTCCTCTGAAAAGTCTAGTGGACATAGAAATGGAGTTGGTCTATGCTGATGAGGAGGACGTTTCCTTCGAGTTTGCTGAGCCTGTGATGTCTACGAGCACGCAACCAGCGCGCCGTGGTTCTAAAGGAGCAGATGCTCCGAGCGCACCTCAGGGCAGCGCCTTGCCCCGGATCGACAAGCGGCTCCAGGGGACCCTCCGGGAAGCCAGCACTTGCTACAGGCAGAAGAACTACGCAGCGGCCGCGGAGCAGCTCTCAGCAGCACTGGAGGTATGGGGTTAAAGAAGTAGGATGGCAATAGCAAAGTACAGGCAAGGCTGTCATCGTATTGACGGGGTGTAATGATATCAAAGTGAACATGGAGCACAAACCTGGGATGTGTAAGGCTTAGTAAAAACCCTGAGATGCCATTTCCTGTGAAATCTGAAAATTAGGAGCTATAAATAAATGATGGAAGGAGAGGGGCACTGGACTGAACCAAAAAAATCTCAGGTGATTTTGTGTTTTTCTCTAAGTCTTCAACCGTATTTAAGTCTGGAGGAGATTTAAGTCCTATAGAGTGGAAAAGAAAAAAAAAAAAAAAAAAGCTCCTCTTTTTAATCCCAGCTCTATCCGGGACAAATGATATCTCAATAATCAGGGGAGTTCCCACTCTACCCCAGCCATCCAAGCACTACTGGGTGAAAATGTTACAGCATTTCCATCGTGCACCTTTTCCCTTTTTTCCTCCAAAGCCAGAAGATGGCCACTGGATCTGTGTAGAAATCCTTTTCTTCTTGCATGAGAAAGGACAGGTCGAGTAGTGAGCACCCCCTCTGGACACAGCTGGCTTTCTCTTCAGCAGCTGAAAGTCCAAAAGCTATTTTTTTTCTTGTGGAAAGAAAGACTTCTTGCCTGCCTGAGATACTAAAGAAATAATATGACCTTGGCTATGACCTCTGAAACTAATCTGTGATTTTCATGAACTTTCTGCCTTTCAGTGCTCAAACTTGGGCTGTCTCAAACGGATCTGTTCTACAATGAGTAGATATTTCTGTGTTTTCAAAAGCAGAGCCCTTTCCAGTTTTAGGCTGAGCCCCTCCACCAGGAGGTATCTAAAGACCTCTGACATTTTTGAGGATCTTAGCCAGCCTTGAGTTTTATCAGTATAATATGAGAAGAAAAGAGTAAAAGAGGGAGTTCCTAACACTCTAGCGAGGTTGCAATTAATTCCACGAGGGGAGGGAAGAGAGAGGAGGCGTAGGAAGCCCCAGCAGGTGAGTCAGGGTTGTGTCCACCAGCCCCCTGTTTCCTGGAAGCCAGAGCTAGCAGCATTTACAGTAAACTGATTCTTCAAAGTTGTATCATTATTCCCAGATTTCTCTAGTGCTGCTAATCTCAGTTAATTATATTGGAAATCCCTTGTATTATGACCATGTAATTCATAATGTGCCAGTAGAAGTCATGGTTCATAATAATCACATAATGGGCAAGGACTTAGACGTAATCAGATTTTAGTTACCCTGTCGTGTTTCCATAATGCTGCTATAAAACCGACATAATCACAAAAAAAGCACTAGTTATTTAAACATTTTTATCAGATTGATGTACAGTATCTTTCTCTCTCTTTCTCTCTTTTTTAAACAATGTAAGATAACAAAAATTGGATTACAATTGCTGGGAACAGACTATGATAAACTGTTTGCTCTTGTGCAGAATGAAATTTAATAATGGCATCAGCCTCTCAATTTTTAGTCATGTTAAACCTGTTAAATAGTAGCACTCTGCAGCCAAAGGCTGCTTTCAAAGAGGTAGCATTAGAGCATTTTGAAAACAGTATCTTCAAGAGCGTAGCTGTCTCATAAACCGTGAAAGATGCCCCGTATCCCCACAATTAACCCAGCTGCCAGCGTTTACCGTGCAGATGAGGGCTTGACTTTTTCCCATCATACATGATACAAAAAAACCACTCTTAGTAGCTGAATGGATTTTAAAGGCCAGTGTCTACTTCTCAAATAAACTAAATAAATTATTTTTAAAAGAGAGACATTTTCCACTTTACAGGAATATGGTTGGTGATTAGAACAGAGGACTTACAAGCTGGACTCTCCCTAACGTTTCATCTCCACTCTGACCCCAATCACTTCAGCTACACACTTGACATCCTGAAAGAGGGCCCAGCACCGCCAAACTTAATTCAAAAGCATTTGTAAGACATTAGAGGTTTGCAGTTGACAAGCAAATATCCTATTCCTTTTTTTTTTTTCTACAGTATTGAAGGCATTTTATTTTAAAACAATAAATATTATAGCAGCAAGCGAGTAAAGTTAGAAAGTGC